ATCCTGATCATTTTTTAATCTCTTAACCCCAAGCCACGCCCTCTTACAGAATAGATTAGAAGAGATGATAAGAGAAAATTATCCCCCATCCCACTGCTTCCAGATACACCATGAGAGAACTAAAAGAGAATAGAAGAATAAAATCAAACTTTGAGAAGAAGGTAGAAAGCAAACAAGTTGGGCATTGATGAGCTCAAAGTGCTGAAAATCTAAACTTAGTCTGTTTCTACATGTCCTCTGTCCCATGGCCACTTGAAGTTGGCCCCTATCACCCAGTTAGAGAGTAAAGTGAAAAAGGAACCAATTGTGGGCTCCACAGAGTCAAGCCAGGCTAACCACACAGTGGAGGCTGATTCAAGAAAGCTGATGGAATCATATTTTAAAATATTTTCTTTAATTATTGTGTCTATCAGCAGGGGAGAAACTGCTATTTAAACCCAAGTTCACTATAAGCAGCCATTTTCCCACCCATGGAAAATTTTTATGATTGAAAAACAGATCTCTACATGTTGCTTCCCTTCACCAAGGCTGGTCAAGGAAAGAGTAAGCAAAGACAGAAATGGTGACGCCTCTGCATCCTTCTGTGCTGCTCAAGGTAAACTCGCAAACTGCCAATGTGTAGGCCTGAGCTGGCCTGCAGGACTGTTTTGTTTGGCCTGCACGATGTCAGCCTGCACAGTAGTTTCTTTCCCCTCGGCATTTTAAATTGGAAATAGTTGCCAACATAAAAAAAAAAAAAAGCAAATATCCCTTGACAGATGTATTGCAAATAAGTTCTACTGTTCTGCAGCTTGCCAAAATTCTTAGTCATGAATTCTGATAAACAAAAGTTCCTAACTTTAATGAAATCTAATTCATCAATCTTTCTCTTTATGGTTAGTTTTGTATGCCCTGTTTTAAAAAATACTTTAGGCAATTCATGAAGACATTATCCTATGCTTTCTTCTAGAAGCTTTATCGTTTTACCTTTCATATTCAGATCTATGATACATATTGAATTAATTTTTGTGCATGGTATGGATTCCAGGTTCATTTTTTTCCATATGGGTATCCAAGTGCTCCAGCACCATTTATTGAAAAGTCCATATTTTTTACCACTGAGTTATGATGGTTTTTTTTTTACTGTAAATCTAGGGAATGTACATATGTGTATATATTTCTAGGCTCTCCATTCTGTACCATTAATCTATAATTTGCAACAATATATACTGTACTCTTAATTACTGTAGGTTTATAATAAACCTTGAAGTCTGTTAGTGTAAGTCCTCCAATTTTGTCCTTCAACATGAATTTGGTGATTCACTGGGCTGAATACTTAAAATTGGTGTCTGTATGTCACAACACAACAAAAAGTAAGTAGATAATACATGAGGGACTTGCTAGAGGTGAGAAAGATGATATATTGAGTCTGTCAAAGAATCAGAAATTGAGCAGCACAAAAGCCTGCATGCAATAACATAGTGCTGCCTTTATGGACAGAACGGGCAGGCTCCAGTTTGCCTCAGCCCCAACCATCCCCTGTTGTCCCTGTCACTGTAGCATAAGGGCCAGGGCTTCTCATCTTACTCCTGGCTCACTTCACTCATAGATATGGCTGCCTTGCTGGCGGTACTTGAATTGATGGACTAATTTAGTGAATCCTTTCGATATAGCTTGGGGCCCTGGGAAGGAAAAGGCTAACTTGTTCTAGATAATAAGGAAAATGGAAAGGAGAACAAGGAGGGCTCTTACAGAGCAGGATTTCTCAAATTCAGCTTTACTGACACTTGGGACCAGATTATACTTTGTTGCAGGGGACTGTCCTGTGCTTTGTGGGCTGTTAGCAAACATCCCTGGCCTCTACCCACTAGATGCCAGTTGCGTTTCTCCGCTGTGACAATCCCACAATCTATAGACATTGCCAAATGTTCCCTGCACAGAAGAGGCAGGGTTACATCCAGTTGAGAACTACTGGCCTAGACTTAAAACAGAAACAGAAATAATAGATGAGATCTGCTGTGGAGGTTAGGACACTGGATCAGCAATGCTGGCAGGACCCCTGGTGTTCTCAGATCCTGAGTTTCTTTCATCCAATAGAACTAAAAGCGAGGGACAGGAGGAAAACTTGGATTGCAGCATGGAACTGTAAAGAGACCAAAGAGACCTGTGGGATCACAAACTCCAAAGGGCATCTTTCACACAGACTAAAATGTGAACAATGTCCCCTGGAACTGTGCAGTGTGGTAAGCCTGAATATAAAAGCTATATGAAAACTTTTTTCCCTATTCTACCGTTTCTGCCGCTTTTCCATTCCACTACACACCCCCACAAACACTTGAGTAAATAATGTATTTTAGAGTAAAACAGATGGACAATCTACCAAACTATTTCCTAGCAAACCTATTAGAGCCTGGAGTGACAAGGATAAAACCAGCAGTCTCTCCCCCATGACCTCTGTCTTTCAGAAGCTCCAGGAAGACTGGGATGCTGACTCTCATCACAGGAGTTGAGGTTCAAGCCAATTTCATTTGAATTTCAAAGAACCTGCATCGCAAATCTCTGTATCTGTATTGAACTCACGTTGCTTTTCTTTATTCCATTCCCCACACATTGTCTTTCCTCCCCTTGGCTTTCCTTCAGGCTTGTAGTTTTCATGAAGTTTAATAAATGAGTGGAGGCATGTGCTTTGTTCTGTTGACCTGTACCAAGGAAGTACTACACCCTACCCTAAGTACAAGAACAAGGGGTGAATTCTCCATAGAAAATTTTAAAACAAATTAAAAAAACAATAAAGTCCAACTTTTATTCATTACCATGTGCTGGAATTCTAAACCACATCTATGATAAAAGAGTCCTCTTCCCCCAAAGTATTTTCCTGGTCTATGTTCTGAACAATTACTGTGGCTATTATTACTTCAAATGTGTTAAATGTTTAATTAGTTATGCCTCTTACTGATAATGTTATTCTCACAGGTGAATCTTGAAATTTTTACCAAGTTTCTGTGCCAATCCCCTTTTGCCCAATCTGCTAAGAGGATTTGGGGCAAATAAAGGAAGTATGCCTTCCTTCCAGGGTTACAATCTAATGCTCGAAGATAAAGGCTCTTTGCATTGTGTTGGAAAGAAAAATGCAATGAGGGAAATGCCACTTAGATGCCTGAAAATGCTCTTGTTCTTGCTTCCAGAACACCTCATATACAAAAACATTATGGTGGGACTTTGATGTTGGAGTTTGCCATGAACATGTCCCCACTTGGAGCATTGTCCCTGCAGACTTTGGGATTTGTCAGAATTGCCAAACTCACTAAGCACTTTTGTTCAAAAAGAATTGCGTATTTCAGCCTCATTATTGAACTGTTTTGTTTCTGTACTTAATTTTGTTGACAAAAAGAGCGCCCTGCACCTCTCAGTCAGCTCAGGGTCACCAATACCCCCCTAAAAGGAGTTGAGGAAGGAAAAGTCTCCTATCTTTCCCACAGGCTCCTGCCTAAAGATGCTATTCTGTGTTTTGGTCCTTTGTTCAAATACACTAGAGTATGCATAACAAGTCAAACTACCAGGTTTGGTCCACATTAGAAACACGACTTTATGATCTTCTAGTGAAGCATTTATTTCCTAGGGAGTAGAAAAAAACTGAGAAAAAAATACTATTAGTGATGTAAGCAACTCCATGTATTCTCAAATCTTGAAAATAACCTTAATCTCACGGAGGTTAACACATTCTTATCCAGAGCCTTCAACTGGTCTTGTGCCTAACCTTTACCATCTCCTCCTCTCCACATCACGTGTGTATTAATTGTATAATCTCTTTGCATTTCCCAGAATACACCATGCTCTTATCCTCCCTTTCCTAGGCACACACAGCTCCCTCCACCTTGAACATCCTGTTCTTCCTAGTTAATGCTCATCCATCCTTTACAGTTCTTCCGCAAAGCCTTCATGGGTACTCTCATTTTGGGTTAGATGTGTCTCCTACTTGTTTCACAGCAACCTGCTTTGTGTCTTATGGTAGATATTGTACTCATCAAATATTTTTCTTCTTAAACTCATAACTAGACTGCATTTCCCAGTCTCCCTCTTGGTTTTCATATGGCTGAGTTTCAGAAAATTAAGTATGTATAGAGATGATGTGTATCATTTCTGTGAAGAATAATTTTATCTTCTTCAGTTTCCTTTTTTCTCCAGTTCAATGGATAAAAGGAAAAAACCCCCTTATCCTTATAGGATTATGAAGCCACACATGAAAGGAAGTAGTCTGAGTCCCCAAATAACCACAAGGAAAATAGAAAAATTATGAACATCAACTCTGGATGGCAAGACAGATTCACTGAAGTCTTGGGTTGGTTTTTACAGCACTTACCTATCCTAAAACATCATAGCACCTACCCCACTCTGTACTGCTCCTCATCTGTAGGACTCTGTCCTATAGAGATCTGAGCTCTTCGAGGAAAGGAACTAACATACCACTTGGTACAAAGAAAGGGCACAGTAAATATCTATAGAAGCAAGATCAGGTAATGGAACAAACTCATGGATGGACACTGTGACACAGAAGAAACCCATGTAACAGGAGACTGATGCCTCCTCAACTTATTCAAATCTTGAAGGTCAGAAATGACAACTGCATTGCAAGATTACTTGGTCAGAAATGTGAGCCAACTCTTTCTGCTTATCTGTATCATTCCTGCTCCAGGTAAGGGTACCATGATAGAAACATTCTTGAATTTAAAAAATATTGAAAAGTTAAAGCAACAAAAAAGCCCTGAAATAGCTAAGTTTTCAATTCAGTGGACCTTCAAACTATATTTTGACTTAGCTATGATATCCCTCCATAACCAGGTGTTTCCTGTGTGCAGACATTTAATAATCTATCTCAGATCATCAGGAAGTGAAAATAACTTAACTCTGAGATTTTTATTTTACTGGAAAGACCCCTAACTCCTCTTCACATTGCCTACATTAAGTGTATGTAAGGCCATATGCAGACCACAAAATATTGACACCAAGACACCACAAAACCATTTAGTTATCATACATTTATTTTTAACATAGCACCCCAGTTTCACATCATGTGCATTTTCCAAAGTTTGAGATCCTTAATTTAATACGTTCTTCACAGATTTTTCAACAAATGTGAAAAAGAGGCAGTAAAGTTAGCTCGAGCCTATAAGTCACAACACAAATATAGGACACTCTCAGGGATTTATGTTTAAGGTCAATATACATAATGTTCCAAATGCTTAGCAAACAAATGAGACTCTAGCTGAGTAAAACACTAACACAACTTGGTGGTACAGTATCATGAAAAGACAGAAGGCATCAAATATATACTTTGCTGTTACACTTTTTACTGTTCAATGTATCTATAGTGAAAAAATATACATTTTTACTTTCAAGGCTAAAATAGACCATCAGTTCATTATCTCTCTTGGCCAATAGCTATGAAGACTAAAATGGCTCTTTTTTTGCCTCTGGCTCACTTAAATATCTTATTTGTGCTGAAGACAAAAAGGATGGCAGTGCTATAGAAGAGGGTATACCTGGCTCTCAAGATGTGTGCAGTTGAAGCTGTCACACAAGTTGACTTAAAACAAACAAACAAAAAAACACACAACTTAGTTGATCTGACCTCCATATGATGGTTGTTGAGTTCCGTCTCAGGGCAGAGCTCTCTGATGGAGCTTATGACCTAGTGCTGTTATTCAACACAGGCCCTGAGGATGGAACTGGTACCTGAATTTTCCTTACTATAGTTTCCAAATTCTAGCTTAAGATTTCTTAAATTCTGATATTCTCTCGTCTTCAAAGTTGTAAACCTACTTTCTCTAACCTTGACAACCATGAAATTATAGCTGGAAGCAAGACAGAATTCATGCCATGAAAAGAAAGCACTCCCTAGTTATTGACAGCAAAGCAAGGCTTCTGTAACCTAGAATAAGCCCTGTCAATTCAAATCTATAGTGCTGCTTAGAAAGGTTCTTCTTACCATCCTGTATATTAATAAACATAGAAAATAACTATTATATGGCCTAAAAGCAACCGTGCACTTGGGCTGTCTTGCTCACACTGACACCTCTGCCGCTTCAGGTCTTATTTGTAAGACAGTCTTCAAAAGGCCAATTGGAGGGTGGGCAGCAGCTCTTAGAATGGGCTTGCATTGCTTTTAAATCTGTCCCTCTGTTGTCTGCTGCTCCCAGAGTTGTTCTGGGGAAGTTCACATAACTAGATGCACTGCTCCTCAGAAATAAGCAAAGCCGGGTGGCCCATAGGGTAACAGTCATTCAAATCGCTATCAGTGTCTAATCGGGCCGCATTGGTGGGTAGGCTCCTTTCTCCTGCGCTGAAGGAGAAGCAAGATATGCAAACAGTACTCCCAAAACCCACTCCCCATTTCTTACTAGGAATTTGAACCACACAGTCATGATGCTTAAAAAAAAGGAGCTAAAGTATAAATTTGAAATCAGTTTTAAAAGAACATACCTGAAACAGTAAACCAGTCAAACTGAGAAAATGAAGTTATACATGTTGTTTGGCCAAAGGGAAAATGACCTCTCAGCTGCGATGTCATTTTATCCACAGTAATAATGCTTAAACCACAACCTCATGAGTCTACTTGTCAATAACACAGGAAGAGCTGCTTGCTATGAGATAGTAAAATATTTTTTTTATATTTTTAAAATCACATTCCCTTGATGTTATGTACTTAGAAGGTGTGATTCTAGTTTGTGTTGAACAAATGTTGTTAGCTCAAAGGTGTTAATACTGTCATTGAGATCTAACTCCTGCTGAAAAGACATTCACAAATGTCCATCTTAATTGCAAAAAACACATATATTCCAAATATTATTGATCTTTGATTACATGTCTATTATTACCATGGTGATGAGATCATTTAAGAAACAGACAAATACTACAAACAGACTGTACAATCACATATAAAGAAAAAACTGTTTTAAGATAGTTCAGATTTTGGTACGAAAACAAAGGAAAATCCATGTTTTTGATTACTCACCCTAAAATATGCTGAAATTGAACATTTGTGACCCGAGTAACTAAAGATATATTGAAGAAAACTATAACTTACTACATATTGAGTTCATTTCAATCACAGTAGTCTATTTTAAAAATAAACCCCCATAAGGAATATAGGAATGGAATCCATTCAAAGCAACAGCTGTCAAAAGCTCTGCCAAGAAAATTCAGAATAACTTATTGCTTCATGAAAGGTGAGGTGTTCAGAAGAACAAATAGTTCAATAATATTCTTTCCCTTTAGATTTTACTTTTCAAACCAAGAGAAATTGTTAGATCTAAAACTTAAAACATGTTTTTATATTTAAAGACTAATTAGTTAAGTCAATAAAATTCAACAAGATAAAAGTAAAGAAAAACCTTCTAATCTACTTTTAATGTTGACAGAGAACAGAGGGCCAACTTCGAACCATAAGCTCAGGCTGGTAACCTAGCTCTACCGCTAGCTATCTCCTTCTATGGATTCTTGAGCTGGGAACTGCTGATTCTTAGGGCCTTGGTTTCACCACATATGAACTACAGGAGACAAGTACCAGTCCTGCCCAGCCCTGGCATCCTGTTCTTCACTGACAGGAAGATGGGCACAGCTTCCAACTAAGCTGATTCATCTACTAGCCCCAAGCACTTGTTTATATTTTTAAAGCCATGAGATCCTTTCAACTAAGGCAAATATGTGCCTGGAATACAACATGCGTACCCATTCCAGATGTCTACTACTTGATTTTGCTTTACGTCTGTCAAGGAGGAGGCAAAAGCAATATGTCACATACAAGGGTTGCTGAGGAACCCAATATTTCCTCTATTAACTCTTACTATGCTTTTGTCTACATGACTGCAGGATCTCTATAGGAGAACACCAACGAACAAGGTAATTAAATCCCCATAAACAGGGACAACTTCAACTTTTTATTTGTAGAATTCTACTAAAAAGCAAGTCTAATTTTGGAGAATTTTTATTAGAGAGGTATAGTGGTGGTTTCAATAAGCCAGCCTTCTTATAAATCACATTAAAGGCTCACAGAAACATTATTAGGCATTATAACTCTAAAAGTACACATCCTAAGAAAACAGAGAACTTGAGGATTAGCAACAGTAAGAGTGTGTATACGTCTGTATGTATATACATAAACAAACAATATTTAATTCTTTTTTAAAACGTCCATTTCTAAGCAACTAATAAACCATGGACAAATTAAGTCCAGGTAGGAAGGCTGGGTACATTTACTGGTGTGTGCTTTAATGCAATACCTATCTTAAAATACTGCTGCTGAGCTGAGAATGGCCTCAGTGATAGAGCACTTGCCTAGCACGCATGAAGCCCTGGGTTTGATCCTAGCATATACATAAGAGAGACTATGAATCTTGGAGAGCTTTGATTGTCCAATGCAAGTTTTTTCCTTTAATGAAAACCAAGCCAACTAAGCAAAACCCCAGCCTCCTTATTTGGCTCTTTTTGTCACTGACTTCATAGGGGAAGACAGCATGTCAGTATTTTTTAAATGCATAGTTTAGACTAACATTCCTTCGTTTATATGTCTGGCTGGTGGATATGAAGTGCTATCCCGAGTGAGTGCATATGTACTAGAAGATTATGAGATAAAGTGCATACACTAGTCCTTCCTGGATGGAATGCACCAAAAGCCAAACATGCCATGAAACATCTGCAATAAGAACACTGATAAAATTTGTCGATAAAATTTGTTGCAGCTCCCAAATCTCAACATACAGAGAAAAAGTTACCTAAAAATTTGCACTGACCCATATATACTCTTAGGAAAGGTTTAAAACTCACTACCAACCCTTCTTCATGAGAACAGAAAAGGCAGCCAAAGAGGGGGGAAGTTCCTCTAGAGAAACAGTTCAAGTTTCATGATTTTCAAAATCAAATCAATTCAAAATACCTAAACATGCATGGAACAGATTCAACAATTTGTTTTTCTTTGGGCAAAGATCATCTGTTTGAGCCTTTCTCTGTTGCTGTTAAGCTATTGAGAAATCTTGCCAGTGAAACTAGGAAGCATTAAATGAATGCCTACTTTTCCTAAAAGCTCTCAGTTCTACTGAAACCAGCAGCTCTATCTCATGTGTTCCAAACCTATCCCAAGCCATTTCAAAAAGTACCAGAACTCCCCATCCCATTATCCAAAGAATGGGTATATTAGCAAAATGCATAAAAGACAGTATGTCTTGCTGTAAGTCTCTGAAAGCAATGTTGAAATTGGTATGCCCTGTGAGGTTAGTGAATCCATGACCCTGAGGGTCAGTCAATTATCACTTTCAGCTTGGGCATTCAGGTGAAGTAGCAGCTTCCTAAAGTTGTAAAGGATACTGGCTTCTGCAATTTGAGTTTGTTTTACACCTCCTGTACTGGAGTTGGCTGAGCTGCTCCAAGCTGTATACATGCCAATTACTTCCCAAGGGCACATTTCAAAGAAAACAAAATAGTCATATGTCCAGTATGAGCACCACTTTCTTTCATTATTTCTTTATGCTCAACATATCCTCAATTCAGATTAAAATAAAGGCAAAAATACAAGGTTTTTTGGATTGTTGGAAACCACTTCCCTTTCTTCCCCAGTTTACATACCTGGGTTCGCACAACAAATGTTTATCAATCCAGCTTTTCATGTTTGATGGGTGGTTTCCAAACTCCTGCATTTACAGAGATGTTATCCCATGCAGGATAAAAGTAGAGATCTGGCAACTATTTATTTGATTTCATCAGGGAAGGCAGCTAAAGTAAATTGTTCTTGCCCAAAAATTTACATGAAAGGACTGAGTTATCTGGGTTGATGGCCTAGATTGGCCAAGTTAAATAGCTCATTGCCAAAATCTCAACTTTATAGGGTACAAAGACCCAATAGGTCTTTGACATTCAATAGAAAATGATAGTAATGTATTATTTATAGCTAGATATAACATCAAAATGGCACTAGAGAAGCAATTTTTAGCATACAGTGGTGGAGGGCACAGCGCCAGTCTAAATCTGATGCTTTCATTTTATTTTACCTTTTGTTTTTTTAATCATCATGCCAAAGACTATCCAGTTGGAATCCCAATTATTCAGGAAACCAAACTACTGTATGTGATATACATACAAAAATAAAATAAGCATCCTGAAAGTACTTCGTTATAAGGTTTTATACAAATCATAAATTCTTTAAATAAATAATGCTCTAAATTAATTGCTAGAAGAATGATTTTTGGTAAGGTGCAGCATCTAATACCTTGAGGAAGTACTTAAGAAAGGGAGATAAAGTCCTTTGATAATTACAATTTCAGATGTGATAATCAGTTGAAGTAATTTTTCCAACCACAATAAAATACACAAGTGAACTTCAAGATAAAGTGTTGCATGGATTATACTCTGCTGCTCACAACTTTGACATAGTCAAACATCTACAACAAGTAGTTGGGCTCAGATATTCAAAGGAAAGATCTTGGCAGATAAGGTCATGCACTGCCACTTGAACCTTGGGGCTCACAACACAGTGACTGGACGAAGTTGTTCCAACTGGTTTTCCAATGCAATCCGTTCTTGATGAACCTCCTGAGTTGTACAAAACAGAAGAAAAACAAAAAGGCAAAGAGTCATTTTCTGAGTTCATATCTACTGCATAAGATAGTCAAAGGAAACCTGTTAATGGACCCAAGACATTTAAATGTTATAGAACTCAAAACTAGGTGGGCTGGAAGGCAGCAGATTTAAAGTTACCGATTACCATTTTTAATTTTCATATTGTCTGGTTTTGAAGGCCTATAATGCCTTCATTACCCTGTTCTGATCAGTTTTATACTATTTTGTTCTGTATGAATTCTTTGTGTGAAGACATAAACAACCATTTAGAAGAAAACAAGAGACATTATGGTAGCCACCGTAGATCTCCTGTTGTCTTGTTTTGAAATCTGTGTCACATTATTTTCTTTTGATCTGTTTGTTCTCTTTTGTTATGTTTAGTTTTACATCCTCCCTTTTTTTAAAATAAAAAAAAAAACAAACGACTTTTCCCACAGTTCTGGTTACATACTGAATTGGATGAGGACCAAATCAAATTCAATGATGAGGCCCAATGTTAACCTTTTGTGGAAATATCATTTGGTCCTCATCCAATTCAGTTTGTGACCAAAAATGTGGGAAGAATCAAATTCATGAATTGAGGTACCACTGTAAATGATACCATTTGTGTGTTAATTAGCTTTCCTTTACTGTAACAAAATACCTGAGACAATTTAAACGAGGAAAGTTTATTTTGGCTCACAGTTTTGGAGATTTCAGTCTATGGTCAGTTGCCCCATTCCTTATAAGCTTGTGGTGAGATAGAATACCACTGTGGAGAGTGCACTGTGGAGCAAAGTTGCTTGCCTCATAGCAGCTGGGAAATAAAAGAGAGACAAGAAGAGGCCAAATCCCAATAGTCTCCTCAAAGACAGGCCCTCAATGATGTCACTTCCTTCCACTGGTTCCACCACCTAAATAAAGGTTCTGTCACTCCAAACAAAAGTTGATTAGACAAAGGGATCCTCAAAATTTGTAATCTCTCAATTCCTTTCTGTAGATGATGAAATGAAGCTCAGAAACTATCCTCCAATACCCCACCTTAGTCTCACCTTGTTTTAATGAGATTAATAGCTGGCAGAGAATGATATTGAAAATTAAAGCTGACAGAAATTAGAAAGCAAAATCAGACTCTCACTTCTGATGGGTGAGTCACTTGAACTAAATTTCTACTTGTAATTGCTGGTTTTGTATCCATCACCTTATTCAGGAAGGTCCGAGGGATGAAAAGGTGCTCTACTCAAACTTCCTGCCAAGTCCTGTGCAGACTTCTGCCCAAAACAGAGCTTTATGTGTGACCTTGAGGTAAAAGCCAGAAAGAATCGCCAATCTGCTATTTGGAAAATCAAACTTTCAGGCCTAAAACAGACTTCTGCAGAGAAAGGGGGCTCATAAAAGCATTCTTAAATAGAGTTAATCCAGGTGGCAAAGATGCTACATAATGGTGTAACTCTGAAATGCTCCACAAGCACCAACACACTAGTAGTCAGTAGAGAACTGAAAAGAGTGTTTATTCGCCCAGTGTCCTACTCACCCAACCAACAGTCTTTTAGTATCTACTAAGGGCCAGAAAATACTCTAGCCATGACATTATCAGCAGAGAAGAAGACAGAATAAACCAGAGAAGAAGACAGAATAAACCAGTGATGGTGAACCTTTTAGAGCTTTCAAAGATATGAACAGCCAGCCGCAGCATGCATGCCATAGATTTGCCACCACTGGAGTAGACCCATCCCCTCATAGGGCTTATATCCACTGGCTTATATCCAAGACAATAAAGTAAATGAACAGCCATGGATATAGCTCAGTGGCATATTGCCTGCATGGCAAGCATGAGGTCCTGAGTTTGATTCCCAGTACCAGAAAGATAGAAAGAAAGAAAGAAAGAAAGAAAGAAAGAAAGAAAGAAAGAAAGAAAGAAAATAAATGAACAAAATATATCCAGGAGGGAAAGACCCAATTAAAAAATGGGGAACTGAAGTAAATAGACACTTCTCAGAAGTATAAACTGCCAATAAATACATGAAAAAAGGTCTGACACCCCTGGTCATTAGAGAGATGTAAATTAAAAGAACACTGAGATTTTATCTTACCCCCAAAAGAATGGCTCCATCAAGAAATAGAATGATAGGGGCTGGGGATTTAGCTCAGCGGCATAAGTACTTGCCTTGCAAGCAGGTGGTTGTGAGTTCGATCCCCGGTACCGATAAAAATGAAAAAGACAAAAAAAAAAAAAAAAAAAAAAAGAAATAGAATGATAACAAACATGGGCGAGGCTGTGGGGAAAAAGGAACTCTTCTACATTGTGGTGTGAATGTGAACTAGTACACCACTGATGGAAATCATTATGAAGATTCCTCAAAAGACTAAACCTAGAACTTTCATTCAACCTAGCTACTCACTTTCTAGGTACCTCCCCAAAAGAGCTACAGACATCATATAACAGTGATACATGCATACCCATGTTTATAGCAGCACAATTCATACCAACTAAGTTTTGGAAGTGGGCTACCTGTCCATCAACAGGTGAGTGGATAAAGAAAATGTATTTACACAAAACAGACTACTGGTCTGCCATAAAGAAAGATAAACTAGAGTCATTTGTAGGAAAATGGATGCACTTTAAAACCGTGATGTTAAGTGAAATAAACCTGACACATAAGCTTAAATATTGTATGGTTTCTCTTCTATGTGAAACTCAAAATGAAAAGGGCAAAATAAAGGATAGATAATAGGAAAATGGGATAGAACCTTTGCAAAAGGGAAGGAGACCAAGACATGGACCACTTCGTCATGAGGAATATAATCATTGCAAACTTTACTGATAAAAAATAAAGACTGAAAATAACAGATTAAAAGGCACTTTCAGGAGCAAATAAGTACAGATAATGTAATAGAGTGCTAGGGGTGGGAGGAAGCAGAGAAGGTGACGAGGGATGTCCTCTCAGATGTGATGCTACTGGAGCAGTGACTGGAAAGAAACGACGGTGTCCCAGAGGAACATGTGGGGAAAGATGTGCTAGGAGACTGAATGGCAACTGCAAAGGCTGCCAGTGATGGAATGAGTTTGATGAAGTTGACACACAAAAAGGCCTATGTGACCAGAGCAGAGGAAGCAAGAAAGACTTTGGCAAGAGATGAAGTCAGAGATTTAGACAAAAGCCCTATCACATAGGGCTTTGTGGGAAGAGGCAATAGAAGTACAGGGGGAGGGCACTAAAGCTTTTGAACCAGGAAAGACCTGCCTCATTCTATAATGTGTAATTCAGAATTCTCACCCAGGCTACAGTGCAGGCTATAGTGTAGGCAGCACTACAACAATGCGAAAGCAGAAGCAGTGGCGCAATTGGGAAGTTACATGGACTCGGGTGGGAAAAGAAAATGACTTCAATCAGGGCAGCAGCCATAGAGACAAAGAGAAGAGGAGGAATTCTAGATAGACCTTGAATCTAGAACTGAACACACTTTCTAATGAAGTCGAGATAGGACAGAAAGAAAATTTAAGGAAGATGCCAATGATTTTTTAAGCTGGTATCTTTATTTTTCCAATCAGAATTTTATTTTAATTTTAAATATCCACAATGATCACATTCAGTATAAAGAATCTGTACCTGTACATGATGCAACTTGTTTCTTTTTCCCATTCTCTTACCCACAAAGGGACTCAGTGATTTTGCATTTAAGAAATTAGTTGAGAACAAGACTGCATAAGAGATGGGACTTTCAAGGAAACGGCTGGAAATTAAGTGTCTGAGATATTTGTTAAATATACAAAGAAAAGGGATAAGAAGTTGAATATGTATGCTCAGAGAAGAGAGAATTAGGGCTCAAGACATAAATGTTGGTTTCACGCTGGGAATGGTGGTATGCACTTGTAATCCCAGCACTTGGGAGGCTGAGGCAGGAAGATCACTGTGAATTCAAAGCCAGTCTGCGTTACATGGTGAATTTAAAGCTAGTCTGAACTACATAGGGAAATACTGTTTCAAAAAACTAACAAAAAATAAATGTAGGCTTCATTAGCCTGTGGATGGTCTTCATAGAAATGGAAATATCATCTACTAAAACAGTATAGGAGTTCTATGTAAATATGGAAGACTACTTATAGGTCCATCCTCCTTCCTGCAACTCCACTAAAAAAATTACAGGAACTTTTTAAAGCCACAGACTCCCAAGACATGGAAAACAAACGGGAAGAAATAATGGCAATAAAATATGTAAGCTGAAAGGCAAACTGATGAATGGTAAATGATTTAGAAAACCCAGCGGGGAAATGTGGGAATTCTGTGAGGTGCAAGTACATGTATTCCAAATTTGTATTCTAGAACTAAGGACGCAACCATGGCATGGCCTAGGATCCACTGTGCCTACTGTGAGGTGCGCTTGCTCCATTGATGACCTGGCCACGGTAAGCCCCAGTCTGACTGGTAGGCCACAGTGACACTTTCAGTCTCCTAAAACTGTCCACACTTTGGAGCTAGTATCTAGTTATTCTCCAATTCTACCTATTCCCCTTCCCCAAATATATAGCCACTCTGGTAAATGGGCACCTTTTGGAAGGGTTAGGAGAAAGATCAGTACACAGGGTATGATCAAAACATACAGTGAACATTTAAATTTTAAAAATTACCAAGTGACATCCTGCTATTAACTTCCCTCAAAGTTCTCTCTCTTACTTTAAATGTGTTTATCCCATCACTCTTGCCATTTCCTAAAGCAGTTCTAGAAGTCCTCTTTCATGAATGTCTTTAGTGGCACTGTTGTGGCTGTCTCAATGCCCTGAAATTTAAAATGTCTACCTTTTGTGGTTCATTTTGACTTTGGGAAAGAGTGAGAAGTCAAAACAGTCACAGATACGCTGAAAAAGATGGATGAAGTCACACTAAAATGTCGTTAGTATCCTTTCTATTGGATGGGACTCAGCAGCCACATTCACCATACTTTGCACCATACCTCATAAGGACACTCATAGAAGAGGACTTCCAGAATTGCTT